GTCTGTTATATTTTTTAATTTCAAACAACCTCTAAATTTTGAATGGGCTAGAAATTCGGCAAAATATCTGTAAGGAGAATGTCTAGGCTTTGGGTAACTATAATTTGGAAATCTTCTGCTAGCTTCTATGTTAGTAATTGTCGAAATTTCCATCTTGACAATGTACGGATCAGCTATGTTCAGTTCTTATACATATATATGTTGTCTTTCTTTTTCAGTTCCTAGCATGGTGAGGAGTGCTTCAGAAAGTTCGTACTTGGAATTTGAAGCTAAATCTGCTAGAGATGGTGCGTGGTAAGTATTTCTGGTCATTCAAGTTACGAATTCTGAAAGCTGATTCATGAAGCTTTCACTTCATATTATTATAATGATCATTTTACTTGATGACCAAATCAATTGTGTAATTCTCTATTTTCTTTCTTTAGGTATGATGTTCAAATGTTTCTATCTCATAGAAATTTGGATGCAGGTGATCCGGTAATTTGTTTATTCTATCTCATCAAACATTTTTCCGCTTTATTCATTCTACTATTTTCAAACTAGGTGTTGTCTTAGTGTTAAGTCTTTCAAGTTCCAGTTACAATGCAGCTCTTATGAGGATCTTTGATTCGACTGGAAATCCCGATTCCTACCTTCTGTCTTAGTGCTTTGTCCTTTTTTTTTTATGTTTCAAATTTTCTGTCTATCGTCAGGAAGTACAAGTTCGGTTTGCTGGTTTTGGACCAGAGGAGGATGAGTGGGTTAATGTCAAAAAGCATGTTAGGCAGCGGTCTCTCCCATGTGAAGCAGCTGAATGCGTTGCTGTTCTTCCTGGAGACCTTATACTGTGTTTTCAGGTGGGATTCTCTACTTGTAAATACAGTTGAAAGCTAAACATGATTTAATGTTCAGATCTGCTCCAAAATCCTTTGTCCAATGCTCTTCTTTTTTCAGGAAGGTAAAGATCAGGCTCTTTATTTTGATGCCCATGTTCTTGATGCACAAAGAAGAAGACACGATGTAAGAGGATGTCGATGTCGGTTTCTAGTGCGTTATGATCATGATCAGACTGAGGTATAACTTATATTATAATAGTTCATTCATGTCTTCTTTTTTTAAATTGTTTTCCTTCTTAGTTGTGTGCTTGCTTGTTGCAAGATTACCCACATTTATATATAATTTCTATGATGTGTGGCTTCCAGATGGGGTCATGAACAGTACGGAATTATTGACAATCCTAACCTATTTAAACTATTAATTGATTATCATGAATGAATACCAAAAACAAGTTTATCTTGTGTAAATCCATGCAACTAGCCAACCCAGATGAATATGAATAAATACTGATAATGAAAAGACAATCTTATCTGGATGATCTAACAATTGACATGTTTGTTAAATCTTGTACAATAAACGACAAAGAATCATAAAAATGTTTAGTTCGAAAAAAAAAAAAATTCTGAATGGTATGGTAGAAATGTTTTGCAAATAACTTTTTGAGGTGCAGCACGTGATGGATATTGCAACTTTAGATTTTAGTGAAGTTATAGGTAGGCATCTATTTGGAATATGAATACTTTAAAATCTG